AGGTCAGGTCAAAATGATGACATCCACTAACCCCACCAACACACACGTAGAGGAGCTTAAGAGAAGGGTGGTGACGGACTAACCAAGCCAGTCAGAAAAAGGGACCCACAAAATAACCATCATACATCTAGATCAAAGGTCTTTCAAAGCATTTTACCTTGGGCCACTGACAACAAATTTATATAATATATTATCAGTTTTGAACTGACCATCACTAAGGTTTATTGATTTTAATTCCTTAATCAAACTAGCTTTTAACAAGAAGTCTTTCTGTGACATAAGATGATTTGAATACTGCTTTTTCCCAAGCAATGGGGTGATTATTATTCCTAACATGAACAAACAAGGCACTGCTTTCAGATGCAGTTTAGTTATACTATGTTGTTTGGATTCTGAGCTGCAGTGTTTTCCTGTCTGACCTACATAATTACAATTACATTTGCTACATGGAATACATGGAATATTGTGAGACCTGGTCTCAATCTCCTGTATATATACAACCTTGGTTTGTATTTCTTTAGTCTGTACTCACCCTGAAGATGTGAATTACACGAAAGCGCTTTGGGAACTTCTGTGGTTATCTTTTCCTTGTGGTTATCAATATATATATATATATATATATATATATATATATATATATATATATATATATATATATATATATATATATATATATATATATATATAAATATACAATCAACACCTCAACCTGCTACGGCTTTATTAAGTTACGAATATATATGATCTCGTGCTGAAGCCGGATTTGGTAAAATCGTTACTCTGACCACCTATGTGATACGGTAGTCCCCTATTAGCGGTTCACGGCGCTAAGCTCGTTGAACAGGCTTTGTGGAGGCTTAAATATACATGACGTCAAAATGATGACATCCACCAACCCCACAACAACAACACAGGAGCTTAAGAGAAGGGTAGACGACTAACCAAGTCAGTCAGAAAGTGACCCACAAAATAACCATCATACATCCAGATCAAAGGCCAAAGAATTTTACCTTGGGCCACTGACAAACAAATTTATGTAACATATTATCAGTTTTGAACTGACCATCACTAAGGTTTATTGATTTTAATTCCTTAATCAAACTAGCTTTTAACAAGAAGTCTTTCTGTGACATAAGATAATTTGAATACTGCTTTTTCCCAAACAATGGGGTGATTATTATTCCCAACATGAACAAACAATGCACTGCTTTCAGATGCAGTTTAATTATGTTGTTTGATTCTGAGCTGCAGTGTTTCCCTGTCCGACCCACATAATTACAATTACATTGCTACATGAATACATGGAATATTGCAGACCTGGTCTCACCATCCCCTGTATATATACAACCTTGCTTTACTTCTTAGTCTGTACTCACCCCAAAGATGTGAATTACAACGAAAGCTTTGGGAACTTCTTTGAGTTATCATTTTCCTTGACAATAATATAAATATATATATATATATATATATATATATATATATATATATATATATATATATATATATATATATATATATATATATAAATATACAATCAACACCTCAACCCGCCGGCTTTATTGTTAATGAAATATATATGATCTCGTGCTCTGAAGCCGATTTGGTAAAACGTTACTCTGACCACCTATGTGATACGGGTAGTCCCCATTAGCGGTTCACGGCGCTAAGCTCGTTGAACAGGCTTTTGTGTGAAATATCACAGAGTCTAGGACTGCTTTTAGTATTCTGGTGGTCCAGAGGTACGTCCCGGTCACTGTCATGGGCTTGTGGGCCGGGTTCGAATCCTGGTGGTTGAGGTGTTGATTGTATGTAGAAGTCTGGCGCGGCTTTATTGGGCTAATGAAATATATATGGATCCTCGTGCGAAGCCGGATTTGGTAAGCCGTTACCTGACCACCTATGTGATATGGGTAGTCCCTATTAGAGGAGTTCACGGCCATCAGCTCGCTGAACAGGCTTTGAAAAATATAACAAAGTCTAGACTGCTTTTAGTATCCTGGTGGTCCAGAGGTAGCATTCCTGGTCAACAGTCGTGGGCTTATACGGGTTCGAGTCCTGTGGGTTGAGGTGTTGATTGTATGTAGAAGTCCGCGGTTTTATTAGGCTAACGAAAATATATATATATATATATATATATATATATATATATATATATATATATATAAGAAAAACCCAAACAAGCAAAAGCTATAAGAAACCTTCAAGATAAGTTCGCTAAAAATTATCCAGACAAAGGCAGACACAGAAAAGAAACATGAAGATGGAGCTTACATAAAAGCAACCCCAAAATAAACAATGCCCAGTTTATTGATGAACCAAAGAAACCGTTGAAGAAAAGAAAAATCTCAGAAAATGGACGAAACCAGACGTCAGGAAGATCGACAAAGATGCAATGAGACTGGAGCAAAAATTAAAGTATTGGCTACTGAGGAAGGAATGAAATGAGACAGAATTTGAAAATGATCCGAGGGAAAGAGGAAGGTTTATGATATGACAATGGGTTACAGATACAGCAGTACATGACAGCCACAAAAATTATAATACAAACTGAAATATGTGAGTCTTTAATAACAAATTAAGAAGTGATTTAAATTACTAAGACTACTTTCCGTGCCTCAATAGCGTCCCATCAAGTACAACAACTAATCGAAAACATTAATATTTTAGAAGTTTCTGCTTAAGAGGATGTTAATCGTAATTCAATAAATCACAAACCTCCCATTTACTTTCCTAAAAGTAATTTAATATATACCACACCGGTATAATATAACGGTATCACAATAAAACATAATTAAAATATATAATAAAAATAGATGAATATTTTAATAGTTAATCCATATAACCAATTGATCAGACAGGACACGAGACCGTCTAAAAACAAACATACAGATCCTAAATGTAAAATGACAAACCGATGAGTAAAAGAAGATTCCTTAGATTCCGTCATCCACAGATTGACCATACCGTCATGGTAATAATTGGTTTAATTCTTCAGCCAAGATAAGAACCTGTTAATGAATACAGTCCTGCCATGTTCATTTCGAGTTACTTGTTGAGCTTCGTACTCCTGAATCCATTTCACCGAACCTGATAGAAATACTTGTATTATCTTTGCCCCAATATTTACCTACCTATTTCTACATCCCTTAGTGAACGGTTTGGTTTACTCCACCCCAGTAATGTGCACTACATTCTTCTAAGACAGTGTAAGGCTCAATCTCACAAAAGTTTCTGTAATTCCTCCACCGTTTTATTAATTATTCAAGATGTATTTTTTTCTTGCAGAAAAAATTACCCAAAGTCGGTGTTGTAAGATATTACCATGAATTTTTACCTTAACATTACTTTTATATTAATTGATGACATCATCCTAATAAAATCTTACTTTTGTTTGATGTTTTACAGTAGACGGTAGAGATGACGACACCTTTGTTAGATGCAGGTACTGCTCCTGCTGTTACGGTCGCCCAGCTGCCACTCCCCAAAGCGGTAAATAATAAGACTAACCACAATATTTGTTTTAAACTGTGGTATACTGGAGGAAGGCTGTATAAGGAGGACCGGATGAAAGTTTTCACCAAAGAGGAATTCATTCCACACTTGGGTATTCACAGATTTTAAGCTGAGTAACCAACATTTATGGTCACTATCATTCATTTTATATATATATATATATATATATATATATATATATATATATATATATATATATATATATATATATATATATATATATATATATATATATATATGATTTTTGTCACTTCAAATACTTATCATCAAGGAAATAACACACGCATATTTTGATTTATTAAGGAGTACTGTATTCTATTCTAGCACAAAGTTTGTTATTCTAACGCAACACAATTTGGGGAATCTGAGACTAGCTGGGTTAATGTATTATGAGAAAGTATGTCTTGCTTGGGTGTGGTTAAGTTCTGGGTTAGTAAGTTACAAGCCAAAAATATTATAAAAATAGTTACCACAGAAACTCTTACCTCGTTCGTTCACGTTAAGAAAAGGTCTGGTGCTGATTACAAGAATCCCCTTGGAAGAGTTGAAGTGATGTTTATGAATTCCTTCTTTCATTTGAGTAACAAATTTAATGACTCTTCCTGATAAATTATCATGTATTAAACATTCGATATTAATGTCAATATTTTACTAGCAATGATAACGTTAGGTATCTTGGTGTAAGTATTTGATAAACGATGAATTTCTTTAGAAAAGTGTAAAATGATAAGACTGGTAGATCATATTCATACAGCCTGGAATACTAACGATTAAATCTTCCTACACCTAATGAAGCTTTAGTTTTAGAACCCGTTAAAACGAAAATAATTACCATAAATAGAGCGAATCATTACCACATGCGCTCTCTCTCTCTCTCTCTCTCTCTCTCTCTCTCTCTCTCTCTCTCTCTCTTAGTCTTTGTGTGTGTCCTCTGACAGAATAGATGTGGTATTATTGCCAGTATATGATTACTACTGAGTCGGGTAGGTCACTCTCACATTACTACTGAGGCGGGTAGGTTACTCTCACATGACTACTGAGGCGGGTAGGTCACTCTCACATTACTACTGAGGCGAATTGGTCACTCTCACATTACTACTGAGGTGGGTAGGTCACTCTCACATTACTACTGAGTCCGGTAGGTCACTCACATTACTAATGAGGCGGGTAGGTTATCTCACACATTACTACTGAGGTGGGTAGGTCACTCTCACTGAGGCGAATTGGTCACTCTAACATTACTACTGAGGGAACTTCGTGTTTTCTTCTTTCCTTGTGGTTATCAGCATATTCCTAGATCACGCACACCTACAGTGATTTACTTGCATGTATATATATATATATATATATATATATATATATATATATATATATATATATATATATATATATATATATATATATATATATATATATATATATATATATATATATAATAATAATAATAATAATAGTAGTAGTAATAATAATTTTCACCTCAGGCAGATCAGAAACCAGAGCAGTAGTACCCCATAAATGGCTGGCAACCTTGTTAACGACAGCGTCCACTCCTCAGTGTTCAATGTTCTTCTTCACAGATGGCAAGACCTTCGGTATCACTGTCTTTACGGTAAGTGAGCTTGGCTATCATTATTTCCACTTTTTAAAAATTAAACGATTTAATGTATTTCAGCGTAAGATATACGATATTATTGCAGGACTTCATGGATCAGTTCCGGGACCCTTGTGGTGTGGGTCTGTTCGAGGTGGCAGTGGACGGCCAGGACGCTAACGTGACGAAGGCGCAGCTCTCCCGGGTGGTCGACGAGGCTCGGCGGGTAGGTCACTCTCACATTACTACTGAGGTGGGTAGGTCACTTTCACATTACTACTGAGGCGGGTAGGTCACTCTCACATTACTACTGAGGTGGGTGGGTCACTCTCACATTACTACTGAGGCGAATTGGTCAATCTCACATTACTACTGAGGCGGGTAGGTCACTCTCACTTTACTACTGAGGTGGGTAGGTCACTCTCACATTACTACTGAGGCGAATTGGTCAATCTCACATTACTACTGAGCCAGTGGTCCTTTCTCCCCCATCCCTACTAGGCGGGTGGTCGCTCTCACATTTACTACTGAGGCAGGTGGGTCACTCTCACATTAGTACTAAGTCAGGTAGGTCACTCTCCACATTGCTACTGAGAATAGGCTGGTCACTCCTCCCCATTACTACTAGATGAGGTCACTCTCACATTACTACTGAGAATTGGGTAGGTCACTCCATTACTGAGGTGGGTAGGTCACTCTCACATTACTACTGAGTCGGGTAGGTCACTCTCACATTACTACTGAGGCGGGTAGGTCACTCTCACATTACTACTGAGGCGGGTAGGTCACTCTCACATTACTACTGAGGCGGGTAGGTTCATGGAGAGTGTTTTCATTGAATTACGTAACGACACACGAATTCTCCTAGTAGGGATAATCTACAGAAGACCCCACACTAATGTAAGGAATTTTCTTATTAAATTTTCGGAGCTTATCTCTATCATAAGTTCAGAGATGAAAGACTGTTACATCACAGGAGATTACAACCTTGATCTATTAAAATCAGAAACCGACACCTCAGTATTAGACCTTCTTGCTACATGTCATTCTAAATTCTTCTTCAACACTATAACCAAACCCACCATCACTACATATAACACACCATCCATCATCACTACAGATCGGTAAAGTAGGTTCCGAGATTCTCGTGCGGACACACACACTTCTTTGTTTTATATATATATATATATATATATATATATATATATATATATATATATATATATATATATATAATTATTATTATTATTATTATTATTATTATTATTATTATTATTATTATTATTATTATTATTATTATTATTATTATCATTATTATTATTATAATATTTTCGCCCCCCCAGTGCCTGATGTGGGTCAGTGACCTGTGCCCGGGTGGGCTAATCCCCGTAAAAAAAAAAAGTAACTGCCACCTCTGCCACCGTGATAGAGCATATGTGGGCTAGCAACACTCTAAACAACCAGGCAAGTGGAATTATTTATAACAATATCTCAGATCACTTCCCAGTTTTTGCCATGTATAAAACAGCCACAAGACCTGAAAGGTCTAGTAGAGTCTCAATTCAATACAGAGACTACTGCGCTGACAACATGCTCCTTTTTGAAAACAACCTAATGAATGCTAACTGGGATCTTGTCTATGCCTCCAACAACCCTAACGTGAAAAGCAGTAATTTCTCTTGCATTTTCAATGCGTGCTTTGATAAATGCTTCCCGCTCAAGACTAAGTCGGTGAAAACTGTATCCATTTCCAAACCCTATATTACAAGCGAAATTAAGATAATGATAAAGGAAAAACACAAACTCCAAAGGAAATTTGCAAAAAGACCCATAACTTTCGGTGATGCTTACCGAAGTATCAGAAAATAAAAGCCTGCGGATATACTAACTACCTAAATCTCTCCGGACATCAGCAAACAAAAACCAGAATATCACAAATCTATTCAGACAAACACTCAGCCTTCATTACTCGCTTTTACATGATAAATGATTCGATTATAACGGAACCCTTCCTCATTACAACCACTAATGAATATTTTATAATGTTGGCAAAAATCTTTAAGAGCATCCTGATCACCATGAAATTTAAAACGCCTTCCACCAAAAACAAGACAATAAAAATGTACTGTTCTTAACCCCTATCACAACAGATGAATTACTGGCCATCATAAAATATCCAAGATACCAGCAGCAGGCGAACAATAATCGGCATATTAAGAAAATGGCCCTACTACTGTTCTCTACATTTGAAACTCCCCCTTCCATGGTGTCCTGATGCGACAACCATATAAATCCACCCAGCATATAAATCTGGGATAAGGTCTCTTAAAAATTACCACCCCATATCCAGTCCTCCCAGCCAGCAAATAATAGAAAACCCAGCATGTAATAGACTAAATTCCTTCTACAATCCAATAACATCTTTACAGACTCCCAGTTTGGATTTAGAGCTAGAGGTCAACTAAGATACTCTGCTATCCTTTACAAACATCTTAAATTCACACGATGACAGTCCAAGATACAGTCGATATATTCTTGGACCTCTCTAAACCTTCATTACTATCCATATCCTCCTTTAAGCTTGAACAATTACGGCGTTAGAGGGTCTGTCCCAATTGGTTTACCTCACATGTCCAACAAGATGCAGTAATATATGTTATAATAACCACCAATCTGACTCCCTCGCCAATCTTGTATAAGTCCCCCCAAGGTTCAATTCTCGGTCAATACTGTTTTGTTATCAAACGACATAGTCCACCGCTCACTCATAAATACCACAACTTATTCCGAACAATAATAATCTCTACAACCAGCAACTCACCTCCATTCCTCCATTAGAACTATGAACACTGAATTAACTAAAAAGTCAGACCTGGTATACATGTACTCACACATAAGAAAAAACCCACTACACGATCTTTCTGAAGAAAAACTTACCTCCAGACAACCCCTGTACCATATGTTAATATAGTCCTCGCGAACAAAATACTAAATTCCTCAGGATTGTTGTTAAAATTTAACTGGAGAAACCACATACAAAGCCATTCACATAAATCAATAAACATTTCATATCATGTATCACACTAAACAATCACTCACTCCCACAGAAAAAATCCATCAGTCTTGTTTACAACACTTATACAATTTGCCGCTATGGGGCCTCTGGAAATTCAAAACCACAATCTCTGATTACTAAAAGGGTTACAGCTATGGACAATGACCAACAGAAAAAAGCAATCCTGAGCAAGTTTAGCTACATTAAATTCACAAAATTCGAGATAATAACACATACGTCTTCATCTTTGTTTACATATCTATCAATCTTGACAATGTTACTTCCAGTTCAGAAAAATCAGAGATGTGAGGCACCCAGAGCAACTAAGACCCTCATGCTCTCCTCTCCCAGACACTCCATAAAACAGGTGTGGAACAACATTACCACATCAGAGCAAAAAATACCCCACCAAACACCAACCACTCAAGTATTAATACTTCAACATTTACTACTATATTTGCAACTCAGCTTTTTGTACATCAAAACCCAAAAACATCATATATAAATAAATAAAAAATAAATTACCATTTCAACAAACATAATTGCCAACTAGACATAATCCTGACCAGCTCTTTTCATCTTGACCAACCTTAATTACTGTACAGCAGGTTGTACTACTTCCCTGTAACACAAATTCACTCTAAATTTATACTATATCTTTATTTATATATATATATATATATATATATATATATATATATATATATATATATATATATATATATATATATATATGTGTGTATATATGTATGTATAAATAAAAAAAAATAAAAATAAAATAATAAAAATAATAAATAATAAATAATAAAATAAATAAATATTGAGTGATAACCAACACTATACAATGTACTAACATACTACCATACAATTATCTATTCAGATGATATTAAATGTTACATAATACTTCCTTGAGATAAATGTATATTATATATCAGCTGCCTCAAAAAACTCAGGTTCTCAGCAAACAACCCATCTTAAACTATTACACTCCACTCTGTCTGTGTCATTTCATCTAACCTTCTTTCCAAATTCAATTCAATTCCATCACTACGAACAGGTACAGGTCACTCTCACGTAGCCTCCAACCTCCCCCAATAGCCACACCTTCGCCACCCATTTAATTACATAATAATGAATGTGTTCGAGAATCCTAGTGGAGAATCTCACCATCAACCCACAATGGAAGGAGGGTCAGTTCTACCATGACATCCCGCAAGAACATATTTCTGGGTCCTTACTTCGTCATGCTCATGCATATAAACCTCCTTTCTTGCACTGTGGCATTGATCGCCATCATATGAGAAACCCCCACCTGCATTGGGAGGCAAACAGCCCAACTTTTACCCCAGCACAATAGCTGCCGCCCAGAGCAATGGCATCTGGCCCTGTGATATTAAAATACAACCAATTTTGCCCTTATCGGTAACGTAGTTAACCAGTTCGGGCGCGCCCACCTCCCTCGCTAAAGCTGCTTTTTTCAAATTTTTTCTGAATCTGCGCGCTTGGTTACACTGCAACATCATTTTAAATTGCTGTCGATCTGTCGGGAATGGACCTACGAATCTTATTTTACTTCTGGTATGCGACACTCCCCATCTTCCGTTCCAGGGCTATTATGTGGTCGTGAGGGGCTGCCGTGAGCAAGTGAATTTTGATGTTCGGTGGCAGCCAATCTCCTCTGGATTGGTTAGTCCCATCACTCCCAGTCTTGATGGAAGTGCAAGAAGTGCTCTTTCTGCTGGGGTTAGTAAGTGTGTTTCGCACTAATTTGCAGATGAACTTGGCACTGATAACTTCTTCCAGAAGGGTGGAGAGGGAGTCCATTAACCAAGGATCATCAGGTAGTTCCAACGTCACTTGACTCCATCGGTGAATCCCCTTCAAAAGCCACCTCAGCTCTGTTAGCAATCTCAGAAAGAAAACTTGGATTTCCCTAACACTCATTCACCTTTCCCGCTAAAACCCTTTCATCTTGAAAGTTCTATTTAAAATACACCCAAATTACCTGCCCTTAGATGTCTTTTGCTTCGTCCTTAGTTATTTTGATCTCACTTCCTTAAAAAACCTCCTTTGTCGTTCATAATTTTCTGGCTTCTACGATGAGAGAAGAACTTTGCTAGCGTTTAATTAGTACCTCTTAGCAGACCTCAGTATATTTACAATCCCACCAC